AATGGTCTATCATCATAACTACCAATTACCAATATATTTAGAGTCAACAAGCATAGGTTAATACTTAGTAAACTATAGTTATACCCTTATTGACCATGGTTTGTATATATCAAAGTGTTTAAATTAATGAATATTAAGAATTTATAATGTATGGTTTATTATAGCCTATCTAATCCGGGACCTATATCAATATCTATTAGGAGGCTCCTCTATTTAAAATCTTCCTATTATAAAGCCATAAATATAAACTTGTTAATAGATTAGTCGAACAAATCTAATGTGAGTAAACCTAATATATGGATGGACTCTACCATATGTATTAATAAGAATATAATGGGCTACAATGGGATTTGGTATAAGTGATCACTTGACCTACTCGTATAATTAAGGTTCTAACTAAAAGGGTGATATTCGGGATGTACCGCATCTATCTTCTTACTCTAGTATACTCGTTATCCTCATTAAATGATATCTCCAATAATGCCTAATTGGTGATATTAGGTATTATTCAAATAAGAGCTAACTCTTAGCCTGAATAAAAATATAGATATCTTAAGCCACTATTTAGTAAAGGGTAAATATAGACCAATATATAGGGGTACCCTTTGTTATCCTATTTGACCTAAATAGGATACCCGAATTGATATTTATTCCATTAAATATTTATTATTTCAATATATATTATATTGAATGTCAACCTAGTTAAGAATTTTAATAAAGATATACTATAAGGTTATTTGTGATTATCTAATGAACCTTTATTTTGATTATTAGGATAAAAATGGCCTATGTTGATCATTGATTCAAATATTGATGATATCCATGATGTATTATTGGAGGATGAATATACCGTCCATCCCAGCATTAGGATACTATGCCATTGGTAAAGATTAGACATTCGGGTATCCTAGGATATTGACACTAGTTCATCATTACAGTGGTATAACCAGACTCTCCCTAAGTTCCCATATTTACACTAGTACATCCCTAAATATTACCTTAGTTTAATAAAAGACTATTCTCTAATACTCTTAATCATTAGAGTATCCCGCTAATTATACTCGCATTGGTTAAATGCCGTTATCCGATAAGCCTCTATTTAGTTATAATTTAAATAAGTGACTTATTATAATAACATTCTTATCATCCCTACCGTAATGATAATATGTTATCTATAACCTAATGGCTAATATAAAAGATAATGTTGGTCATTAATAATATTGGTCCCCTATGACCCAATCTCCCTATGATTAGACATATAATTATCCGTCAAGTACATAAGAGTTATGATTATTAAAATGCCTATTGATATCAAGGGTAATAATGAAGGGTTCTTGTTAACTCTCATCAAGGTCCGGTATCTAATAGTATGTTTGGTCATCTAATATACGGGCCAATTAATTAGATTTAATAATAGCCTATTATGGAAATATCATATTCATAGTGGTATGTTAATATTATTATGATATATACCACCTATATTAACTAAATACCATTCTCCTTTGATAGGGAACTATATGATCATGTGAATGATAAAGGGAAATATCTAATCTTAAGGTATATTCCACGCCATTATCTAATCTTAAGGCAGTAGAAATGTATATTATCATTTTAATCATATTCACTAAGTATGTTTAAGCATGGTAACAAGATTAATGAGTTAATATTAACTAATTGGTGACTTGGGGTATACTCTTGAGAGATGGACGACTCAAATATAGCCCTTATATTAGTGAATATGATTATTATTATGGCATACAGTTTTAAATTAACTTCCCATCATTAATAATCAGAGTTTTCTTCAATCTCCCAAAGGAAGGGTTCTTGTCAACTCTTATTAGGATGAATACATAATAGTTGGGTAGATATCAACCATCACAATCATTATAATGACCAAAGGCATATTCCACCCTATTCATAGGATAACCAATTCTTTTGTTATAATATCAATTACTTAGGACATATATACCCTATCCTCCTAATGAGGTAGACATGTGACCAAGATTATTTAATAAGAAATGGTCCCCTTATTAGTTGGTTCCCAATCTTAAACCCAAGTGGGATAGATTTATTAGGATAATCTTCCTAACGGACTATAGAGTGATCCTTCGAGCATTCTTTCCATATTAACCTCATTGAGAGGCGAGATACGAGAGCACGGGGAGTTTTCGGACCCGGTCAAGATCCGAATAAGAACTCGCACTCAACTACTAGTCTAGTAGTTGTTTTTTTCTATTAGTTGCGATGCGAACAGGCGTTTACTTATGAGATTTGTTTTGTAGGCTTGCCTTAGTTGTCTGCTATAAGATAGCTAGTTTTGGGGCTTTCGACATAAAAAAGCCTATCCGGCTTGGCTTCGCTATCGCTCATGACTTGTGTATTGTAGTCGGCCCGGAATGCCTCTTTAGTCTTTATAATGCTAATGCCTTCTTAAAACTATGTAGTTCACAGTGCTTATTCTATAGATAGTGTAAAAACCAACTCCCATTCATTCGAAAACTATTGATCAGTATGACCGTACTTTTAATTACTTGCTTGCTTTGGAATTGGAAGGGGGCTGCCCTCTTTCTTACATCTGTGGATACGTTGGTAGACTGCATCGAGATGGCCCTTTCCCTCATGGAAAAGAATCGAAGGCGGTGCCGGCCCTTCGCAACTTCCCGATCTAAATCTCCCCGCGGCTGAGGTAC